GTTCAAAATTCAATGTTTAAATTTTAACCCAGCCTTTTGTGTTCACTTCATGGCTCATTCCGTAGCATTTAAGCCTATAATAGGGTGCCTAGACCTGTTTTTATTTTTATTTTTTTTCGCCCTGTCGCTTCATATTTTTTCTGAAAAAATCCGAGAACCAACAAATTAAATTGGTGTGGCCTATGTGTTCGGAACAGAAGAAGAAGATGAAACAGAGCAAAATCAAATTGTTTTTTTTTTCTGCAAAGGTAAACATAACTAAGTCTTAGAGATTTTCATTGACATCATAATCATCATAACTTAATTTTGAATAACCACAAAACATGTCGGTGGTACTGGTAAGTGGATTGTAGCAGCAGAATGTTGGGTTTGCCAACTGTTTAACTTTCATTCTACCATTTGGCACCAAACTTGTATTGGTTATGGGGCTAGGCAGCAAGGAATGGACATTCCAGTAAGGTTCAGAATCTGGAGACTCTCTTGACCACAGCTTACCTTCCGTTCAGGATTCTTTCCGTTTGGTTTATAGTTTTGAACGGGCTGACAATGAAGGGAGTGAAGTCCTTGGAAGCACCAGAGGAGTACTCCTGTTCTTCATCCTCTGCGTTCAACATGCCTGCCAGCAGACCATCACCCGGGGCCACACCTGTGCGGTTGGGAAGTACATACAGAATGATTCAAAGTTTAACCATGATCAGGGCTTGAAATACGTTTTTCTGAATACCTGCACTATACCTGACCTATACTATACCTAAGTTTTACCGGCACCACTCAGAATTTTGAAAGTATGCATGGATCACATCAAAAACTGTTCAAAAACCATTGTCATTATTCAACACTTCATAGGTGGTAGCCGTCAATGCAGTACACATACACCCTGAACGTTTTGTTAGTTAATACCTGTTGCTGATGATCTTTCAGGACCAAGCAATGGTAGAAATCATAAAACACACAGGCATAGAGGATGGCTAAATGATCTAACTTATGACAGAAAGTATGCAAACATAAACACACAATACATGTGAAATTCAATCCATTGTATTTTACACATTGTTAAAGATTGTGGCAAAACAAAGGAAGAGAAGAAGTTAAAGGTGTTCACCTTCAGCCACAATAGAGATTCCCTGTCCTCCTGCAGACCTTTTTGTGCCCGGGGCACCAAGTGTCATCGACACTTCACCATCAGGGCTAGCCTTCGCTACTTCATCACCATCCCCTGTAAAATAGTACATACAATGTAGTATGATCAGAAACTGTTGTCAATACATATAAACCTAGCAAACAATACAAAAACATTGACTGTACAAATCTACAATCTGTCTGTGTTGTTGTATATGTATTGTAATTTTAGTCTGTATTTGCCAGATAATCAACAGCTGTAAAATATATCAGTGTTATTCAGCATGTCTTTGTACAGGCTGCGAGGCTGGTTTTTATGAATAAACTGTTGGAATTTATAGAGAGATGTACTATCATGATCATGGCTTCTGAATACAACTGTTGACTGCCTATGGGTCCCGGAAACATACAAACCCGTAGTCACTCAAAACAGTACTTCTGCAACCAGTGGTATCATGAAACATCGATACAGTTATTGTGCTAGACACTCACTTGAAACAGTGATGGCCTGCGTGTCCACAACGATGCATTTGTGGGCTTTATTACACGCCTTCACTTTCACAAACATCTTCCTGTAGAAACAACAACAAATCTCATTTATTTTTTACTTGCATTTCATTTCATTATGGGTATTAAGAAATACATAATTATATATACAGAAAGAACACTTAAAGGTAGTCAACATAGTTAATATAATGCTCTATAAAAGTCTGCTGAGTCACATTTTAGTAAGAGCAAGTCAGATTTTAGTAACAGCTATAATCAATCAATCAATCAATCAATCAATCAATCAAACGGTTCACTGTTAAAACAAAAGCATAATGAATTGCTATGATCACTAGTCCACATTAGATGTTGAGCATAATACTGTTTAAATGTGTTTACATCATTCATACAATATGGAATACAGAATGATAGAGATCATTCGCTAAAATTAAATTATCAGATTGATAGTGCACAGAATCTGCTAACAGACCTGCCAGGTTCCATGTTGAAACTGTCCTTCTTCTCAGCGTTTGGATCGGAGAGGTCTCCCAGGTCAGAGATGTTGGCCACGACCCGATCGTTGAAGAAAATCTTTCCGTCTTGGACTAACACCGTGCCGGACTCATTGTAGCCGACCCGAGTCTCCGGGATGATGTCTTCCAACACTTCTGAACTGCCTATGCTCAAATCTGGAACAGTACACACAATCTCTTCAATATTTTGTACTTTAAAGTAAATTCTGCTTCCTTGTACACCAACAAAACAAATTAAACCAGTTCACGCACAATTATAGTGAATCAGATGCATTTTTCACTAGAGTGATCAAAAGAAAGTATTATAATTGGTAAATGATATTGTCATAAAAGCTAGGCATTCAAACGTATAAAAAATGTCTTTAACTATAATAGCATGTACAGTGAACTCAATGAAAGGCACTTGACATTATTACTGTGACCGTACATTAAAAAAGACCATGAGGATGATCATGCTCAAATCCTAAAGACAATCTGTTAGAAGAGGTTGTCAAACCCGACTCGAGTCTCCGGGATGATGTCTTCCAACACTTCTGAGCTGCCTGGGCTCCTCAAGACTAGTTTGACACAAAGTGATTAGTTCAAATTTAAGGATATTCCTTGTTCTTGAGTGAACGTTTTGTCATGAGTCAGAAGATTTCTTTAGTACGTACAGATTCCAGTGATCCCGTCTTCCTTTTTAAACTTGGGCAAGGCCACTCCGACAGACGAACTCGCGCCAGGACAGATGCCGTCTTCGCACCCCGGAACTCCAACAGTCGCATTCTTGTCTGGTGCCGGACTTTCCTCAATGAGGGTTATGCCTGGAAAAATCACCAAGTATTAGTATAAATCAGTAGTGGCAAACTATTGGACATGCTAAAACACAGGGCATTTCAGAACTTCACAAAAAAGGTAACAAAACTACAAGATAGCAATATAGATAGCCCATCAGTCCATTAGGTTTTTAAAATAACATGACTGTCCATTACCACAGATAAAACCAACAGCATGGGTTCATTTTACCTCTCCCTTGGGAATCAGCAACTTCACAGAAAAGGTAATAGTCTAATTTTGCACTCGATGGAATTAAAGGATAATCGACACTCACTCAAGCTGAACAGTAACAACAGCCTCTTCAACATGTTGCCCTGCTTCTCCAGAATTCACAGTAACACACGTTTGGCCCAACCCCTTATAATTACACTCAGTATAAATCAATCAGTCTGAAATCTCGCCAACAGAAATGTTTTCCAGCAACTCGAGTATGCTGACAATCATGGAGTTTAAAGTTTCCTTCGTTGGATGATAGTTCTACATCTTTTGGGGTAAAAGGCAGTGCCATTGTCCATCTAAACATAGTGCCTGAACCACATTTTCAATTGTGCAAGCATTAAAGTGTGGGCTAATTCTACTGGAAGTGTCTGTATTATTTTTAAAGTCGTTAAATTGAAAAGACCTGGATGGGGTTTGAACCCACAATATTCCTAATGCCAAGAAAACACTTGCAATATAAATAAAGTTACTGTATCAAGTATCAATATCTACTCTGCCAAGCAAGCAACATCTACTCTGGGATATTGCACTGGGCAGTAGGACTCTGCCAAGCAAGCAATATCTATCACTAGGCTATTGCACTGGGCAGTAGGATTTTAAATAGCCTCCACCAGAACTTTCTACGGAAATACGGAAAGTAGAATTCGGCAAAAAAGAGAATAAAATGGGCCAAGGGAGTCCGGCCGAGGGGAGGTAGTTTCTCTCCCTCCGCAGCCAGTCAAACCTACACGGCGGCCAAACTCCCCCGGCAAATATTCTGAGACTCCTATATATAACGTTAGCCAGCGTAGTTAGTCTGGTAGAGAATAGATTTTAAAGATCCAATATGTACCTTCTGTGGTATTTGTTGAGTTCAATCCTGCTGCATTCACAGCCATGACAGTTGCGTAGTAGGTCATGTGCGGTTGAAGAATACCTTCCAGATCACTGTTGTTGGCTTTGGTCTCCAACCCAACAGACACAAAGTCTTGGATGTTGTTAGTACCATTTTCAGTACCAATGGCCCAGAAATACTCAACGATCTGAAAAAAAAATTGCACATTCATCAGGTACAAGACATTGAAATGATCTAAACTACATATGTACTACCATGTTAATAATCAATAAATTAATGTTCAATCCATTGGCAAAATCTAGGTCTTTGACTTTCAGGCATACACTCAGAAGTAAGAGATATTTTCAATTGGTTTACTGATCACACGACTTTTGCAGTATCTTTCAAAAACAAAGTTAAAGAATAATTTTATCAAATGTTAATTTACCATTTTGATGAAAATATACGTGCAGCAAGATGTTGATTAAAATTGTCTTACTTCAAGCTGTCTATTCTGTAAGTTCTTTGAAGTCTACAAGACATTCCCAGTCATTCACAATTTTGATGCTACTAACAGATTTAACTGAAAGTAACTTTTATATCATTGCCTTTTGTTTTCAACATACCTTACTCTCTATGTCATATGCCTCCCACTTAATGGCAATGGTGCTGTTGCTGCCTTGGAACGAAACTGGTTCAGTCTCAGACCAGGAAAGGTCCACGTGGAACAATTTCTCAAAAACTGGCGGAGTTGCATCTACGTATACTCCATCCGATGAGGACACAACAAAACGACCAGATCCTGGTTTGGAGTAAACAGTCAAGGTTTTCAGTCAGTCATATATTCACAGGCATGCAGATGATAACTGTAAATTTTGATCTACTAATTGAGGAAATGTCATGAAAATAGAGATGGTTGTCCAAAGTGTTGGACAAAAAATGACTGTCATATATTATACAGGTGCAAAGTTATGTTTCAGTGCTGACTGAGGACTGTCTGGACTACATGACTGTACATGTACGAGCAAGATGCCAGCAGTTTCTGTGATTTTCCTTATTTGGGAAGCACAGACGGCATTATCAACAAGAGGGGACTGTGGTTGCAGACAGATAATTTTGTGTGTAATTTTGTGACAGATAAATTTGGTGCTGTCTTAAACCTCCTTGATAGGACCTACCTAGTTCCTCATTCTGTGTCCTAGTCAAAAACTGACTAGGTTTGAACAGTGGGCTATTGTGGGCAAATGGTAGCTTACTGGTGGCGGCAAGTGCAGCAAAAAGAAAGTCGGCGAATGATTCATTCATGCAATGATAAGTTAGGGGAAGTGACCATGTACAGTGTAGTAAAGAAGTTAGTACAGAAGTAACTGTGAAAACTGTGAATATAAAAGGAAACATGAACAATTGTGATTTACAATATACTGGTAAATAGTCATACAAGTGCAGTAATCGTACATGTTGTGCTTCAAAATGGTTGACCTACCTGAGACAGCCTTTAACTGAGACGTAGTAGAGAGCAGGCACGGAGACGGTGGCGTTGTCTTCTTCGATGAGCATGTGAGTGGACAGGTTCAGGTTGTTGATGAAGACGGTGTGAACGGTTATCTCATCCACCACGCAGCTCACGTCACAGTTGTACGTACTGCAGCGGTCCTTACATGGGATGCACAGATCCTCAACCTGAGCAAAAAACACAGTGTAATCAAAATCATACTAATGCACGGTAGCAAAATCTTGCGGTATGAGAAAAATGGACACATGTTTGCAGAACTATGTGTTTGCGGTTGCGGCAGGTGAAGAAGAAAGAAAGTCGGCAAATTATTTGTTTGCGGTTCACGCTTCTGTCGTACAGAAGTGACTGTGAAAACTGCATTTGTTAAAGTAACGTGAATATTTATTTAGAATACAACACGAGAAGGAAACAAAAAATATGATTACAGGTGGGTATTTAAACCATGTCAGTAATGTATTATATATATTTAATAATAACAGTCATGATACTTTCTAACACTGTGAAAGTATGTTGAATTTCATATTTTGAAATTACTACTAATCAACAGATACATGTAATACTATATGGTATTTAGCAAGTATTGTTGGATCAGAGTTACACTGCTAATTGCAACATATTGTACATAAAATTATGGTATATTGTTCTAGTAAGTCAATTCTAGGTAATATCATTTGTTTTTACCTCAAAGAATGGCTCAACATCATCTGCCCCCTTCGTTGTACCAACACCAGCAAATATTTTCAAAATGGTGGTGCTGCCATCTTGGAATGGAGTGCCGTATCGACACACCTGGTCGAGTGATGGAGGGGTCCTACAGAAGGAACATAAAAGAGTTATTTATGTACTTTTCATAAGCATTTGAGTTTACCATATGATCTGCAGGATAGAACTAAAAATTTGCTCTTTTTTCCACATTAACCTTTAGCATGCTAAAGACTAGCTGCTTGCTTTATTCTCTATTGGCTATGGGATCGAGTAGCACGGGGAAGGTTAAGAAAAACAAAAAAATGTGTTTTAACTTTGCAGATGCCAAATAAAATTTTCCATTTCCATTTCCATTCAAACATCACATACAAAATGCAATGTCACGTATTAAGCATTCCAAAAGTTTCCCTCTTGTGAAAGAACACGAAACAGATTACTATGATCATAATTATTAATAAACATTGCTGTTCTGGTGACTTCTCTATACTTGACTTTTGTGTACTTTTTGTGGGTCTGCCATTACCAGCTTCATTGACAATAAATACAAAATAAATATACTGTTTACTAACTTGAGGTTCCTGAAGTGTGCCTTCACAGTTGGTGGGTTGAATTTATCCTGGACGTCAGTCACTGCTCCTCCCTTGGTTCTGAGAGACAGAATCATCATGGTAGCCGGGTTGGGGGCGGGGATACCCGTAACAGTTGTAATGTACACTCCGTCAACGTGTAGCTCAATACCCCATAGTTCCTGTAGGGCAAGAGAATCACACTTTAATTTGTGTACTTCAATATAAGTCACTTAAATGTAATGCATCAAATTTACAAATTAAAGGTGACTTATGAGTAAGGAAAGTAAACAGAAAACACATTGTATCGAATCGGATACATGTATCTAGTAATTACAAAATGTGTCAATTTATACTACACACTTTTATTACTAGTAGTTAACTTCACCAGGTCACATAATTATACACCATTAGCCTGAATATCCACCACCCTGAAATACATGTATTATAAGTGTTACACATCTAATTCTAAAGAGATCTCTAATGAACAAAAATGTAACTTCCTCAATGTTAAATTAGATGTACTACATATCTGCACATCTATCTGAGGGCTGCTGTATTAGAGATCTATCAAACTCATTGTATTTTAAAGTGTTGAAGGTGTATAACCTGGCAAATAACTGTTAATGGAGGTTAGTCTATATGTTATGACATCCTCAATCTAAATGTAGAGTGCAAAATGTACCTGTGTTGCATCAGTCCTGTCCACTACGTATTTCAGACCGTAAGTGTGCCAGGCCTCCGATGCATCGAACCCCAGCTCTATTTTCTCAAACTGCAAAGCTGATGGCTCGTTCAGGACGCGTGCCCACAGAAGTGCGTAGTATTCTGTCCGGGTGGTGTTTCCTTCTGTCACTTCCCCTGTGAGATGAAGGATATGGTAGAAACTTATTAGTCTGTTTATTTATTGATTAATTGATTGATCTTGGGTATATATGGGTAGTTCCTTCAGCAAAAAGGGAGCACAGGAATCAGTCTTTCCAGTGTGGCAAATCCATTAAATGTCAAACATTTAGTAGACTTACAGTGTAGTTCATCAGAAGATGAGGCATATATGTGTGCTCACACACAAGCTACAATGTACATCTTTTAGACATAAAACCTATAATATCTCATCAAGTTTATCAAGGTTTTGCTGAGACAAAAAAATCAGCACATAATTTGGTCCAATAAGCAACAGTAACTGCATCTTCTATATAGTACATACTGTATATCTACAACTGTTACAGACAATTAATTTTCTCATAATGTGGACCACACATTTCATGTACATGTATAAAACAACTTGCGCACATGTAGTCTTCAATATAATTAGACTGTATACCAGTTAAAATATCCATGCCAAGTCCTGTGTATGGCAAGCAACGTCGTAGTGCAGCCTTAAGCAACGTAAGCAACAGTTACTGCATCTTCTACATGACATAGTACATACTGAGTGTATATCTACAACAGACAATTAATTTCTCATAATGTGGACTACACATATTATGTACATGATTGTATAAAACAACTTGCGTATATGTAGTCTTCAATATAATTTGACTGTATACCAGTTAAAATATCCATGCCAAGTCCAGTGTATGGCAAGCGACGTAGTGCAGCCTTCTCATCAGACGATTCCTCCGACTCTTCGTTGACGATCTGCCAGGGGTTCTGCGTGGGTGCCGCGGTGGTTGTCGGGGCGACTGTTGTCGAGTTTTCGTCTCGTTCTGGAGGCTCGTCTGGGGCCTCAAACCCGCCAACAACTCCCGTCGGACCGTCCCAGAATATCATAGACGTAATAGAATCGTTGCCTGCAGCCACTATTTCAATCTGTACAGTTACAACAACAAAAAATTAAAGGTAAGTGGTTGAGTCCAGGATGTCTGAATTTGACAGCTGTAGAAGCGTTCAGAAAGCACTAAAATTAAAAATCAAGTATTAAATAATCTCTTTTGTTGCAATATCCCTGTACATGCATTTTTCTGCATACCTGACAGAAAATTACCTGCACCAGACAAATTCTACCTGCACCAATCAGAATTTAGGAAGTATGGATCACAGTACAACAATTCAGAAACCACTGCCATTATTCCTTTTATGCTTCATACATGATAACAGTCATGCAGCTACAATGTTACACAAAGTTTAACCCTGGCCAGTACAATTGGCTCAGTACAGGTTAGCTGCAGGTAGACATCAGAAATACCTGCACAGCTCCAATGTAGGTGGTATATAAAGCCCTGTGATATGTATTTCAGACTTACCTCAAAGGTTCCTGGTCCTTCATGATTCAGAACCGTCATGTAGCCGCCAGAAATCATCCTTTCCGCTCGCACGTCTCGAACCATAGTCACTGTCAGGCCATCATCCTCTTCAAAAGACAGCTGTTGATGCAAACGATCAGTACAATTACTACATGTAGTATAATTCAGTTATTAATAATTTGTAAGTACATGCAAATACATGTATTTTACAGTACAATTGTCATGTATTATCATGTCAATTTTTAGTTATTCCCAACTGCATGCAGCTCTTTTACAAACTGACTTTGTTAAAAAGACCTTTGTTATTTTCAAAATACTATGAGAAGCATCACTTGGGTTTCTCATAGTATTTTGTAATCATCACTTACATGTACATGTACATGTTGTACAAGTGTGTGGTCACAGTTTCTGGAATTTTTGTGGGTTCAAACTGTAAATTTAAACTAACCTGTTCAGGGGCAAACCTGATGCGAGATGCCTCTATTGAAGTTCCCCAGACACCCTGTGATGTTACTGGACTCCATCTTTCAGTTGGTGCGTCCAGGTCGTGATGGTTGTACGAGCACTGGTACGGCTCCAGGCCATGATACACGGTAAAGGTTCCTACAGGGCAGAGTGGGACAAGGAATAAATCATTTTGCATGTCAATAATCACACTCAAATAATTGACCGTGTAAATCCAGGGTGTGGAAGCTGTGTGGCCCAAGGGCTACAGAAACTGAGATGGGTGCCACCCTAAAAGTGTATACACTAGGAAAGGGTGCACAAGATATATTATTGATAACAGAAACATTACAAGATATCACAACCAATATATGAGCTGGGACATGCACATGTAAATGTATGAATAGTCAATACACATACTTTCATATCCACCCATCACATGTATTACAAGTGCAGACTTTAAAATGTACTGGCAAGATAAGGCTAGGTACAGCAATTGTACATAATATGATATCAAGGAGGTTGATACATTAACCTCCTTGATGATACATGTATGTATGCCCCCCCCCCAAAAAAAAATAATTATCACAAACAGGTTGCATTACACGCAGTTTACTATTATATAGTAGAAATGTATCTTCAAAGTTAACTGTACAAACTGTGAACTAACCGTGAAGGTGTGTGAGGGAACTCTGGTGAGAGACATCGCGTTTGAACGAGTCTCCGTCAACGATATCCCCAGGTATGGGGTCACGGGGGTCAATCAACACTGGGGATGACGTCACTGTGGTGGAGCCTGTGGCATGGTTGGTGCCTTTCAGTTGGACAAAGTAGACCACTTTTTCCTGTCAAAGGAAACAAAATTAACATGGTTAGGGGATGTACCCAACATTGCTGATGTCAACACAAAAGGTTGGGTTAACAATCAATTTTGAACTTTTAATCAAACCACTGATGGAAAAACTATAACAACTAGGAAGAAAAGGACTTTCCTAAACTGTTGGGGGCAAAATGTGAGCATTTTAGTTTGAGTTGATTCAGAACCAGAATCTTTTTTTTTTTTGCAAATCAGAAAAAAATGAAGAGGCGAATCCGAGAACCAAGAAATTAAATTTGGTGTGGGCTAAACTTACTTCAAGAAACAGATCCACCATGGTGTAGTTGCTGTAGGTGGCGTTGACAGTGACAGGGTCGGTCAGTTGCGGGGCGTTGTGATACATATTCCTGCACTGCTCCGGCCCCAACAACGTTACCTGGTACTCAAGCATGTCACTCTCATCGTCATAGAAACCATCCCAGGATACAAACACTTCATCACTTCGATTTGTGTATTGAAGAGGCTGGAGGAAACATTAATACAAGGCATGAAATTAATTGAAGGCTAACCTGTGTTGGCAGGTAAACATGACTAAACTTCATCGTACTAGTATATTGTCATATGGTTTGCATTTGCTAATTACTGGAAATCAATAAATAGATTGCTTATCATCATGATGGAAGTTTGTGGAAGTAAATATAGTACCATAGGTCACGTGTCTGTAATTCTGGCAGATTACGTTCGGAAGGGATTGGTCATTACTTATTCTGATGAAGGTGGCAGTGGTCATTGAAAATCATTGTGTACCCTTGTGTTGGAATAAAGTTCAGCATCGTACATATATTGGTTATTGTGCAGTAAAGTATCTCAGAGAATTGGACTACTTGGTAGACTTAGACCCTGCCTCACTATCAATATTGCTGACAAGTTATATAAAACAATGATTCTGCCTATACTCGACTACTGCGACATAGTGTGGGGGAGCTGTGGGGCCACTAAACTACAACAACTACAGATACTACAGAACAGAGCAGCTCGAGTGGTGCTTCAACGCAGACTACGTGACTGCAGCACTGAGAGCCTCCACCAGACACTGAACTGGAAGTACCTGGTCGATAGAAGATTTGAACACACTTGTGTGATGGTATTTAAATGTTTGAATGGCCTGACTCCAACTTACCTATCTTCTACTTTCTGCCATAATTATCATCTTCATACTTATAACACAAGACAGACTACTAAGCTACATTTACCAAATTACACTAGCACAGCAGGTCAGCGAACATTTGCTTACACAGGTACAAGTTCTTTCAACAAACTGCCGGCAGACATAAGACAGATCCCAACCCTGAAACGCTTCAAGGCAGCTGTTAAACAGACCTCTGACCTCCACTGATTTAATTAAATAATAATGATTTGTATATTTTTGTTCAGTTGTTTATATGTTTATATATGTTAACTTTTCAGTTATACTGATTTTCAGTTATACTGATTTCTGTTAACTTTTGTTACTTGATTGTATAATTTACTTTTATACAATTTGCTTTATGTTATGTTATATTTGTTTGTGACCCTGGGCCCTCTTGGAAATCAGCAATCTTATGTTGTAGAGGCTACCCAGGTGTTTATAAGATGAAATAAATAAATAAATAAATAAATTGTAACTGTTATGTCTTGCTGTTGTTAAGCACAAAACAGTGCAAACTTACAGTTAGTACCCTTTTTGCGGTCTTTGAAAAGTCTACTTACCACGTTTATAAATGGACCAACGTCCACCCTCCCTTTCTTGGGTGGGGTAATGTCCACAGTAAAAGGAGCAGTGACAATATCACACTGCAGACTTTCATCAGAGGCCATGACGGTCACGTAGTATGTGCCCTTGTGCTCCAAGGTCTGGTTGACAAGGTCAACCAAGGAATCCTTGTTGATGTCGGTGAACTCGTGTAGGTCAAAGAAGTTGGCGTAGGAATTTGACAACGCACCGCTTTCATCAAATTGGTGCTGAAAAATGTAGAGAAGTCTTCATTATAAGTGCACGCACATGTTAGAGAATTGTACCAATGACACAAATATATTCAGCTGAAATGCAATACATGACACTTTGTACTTGGTATATAGTTATCAAGTAACTAAAAACTTGTCATTGTCTGTATCAGAGATTGGTTAGCTTTGAAGCTTTGTCGTCATTGACAATTCATTCAAAGCGTACAGGAAAAAAAGAGTCTGGTAAATTGGACAATTTGTATTAAAATGAGTTACTGTAGCAAACTAACAGTATTTATGATAATTATGGATGTGGATTTCAAAGTATTTTTTAGCTTTAAAGATTGCAAAGTTTGTTAAACTCACCATTTCTGGGCATGTAACATTCTCCTTATGGAACTCCACTGTTCCTATGCCCCAGTAGTAGTTGTAGATCGGCAGGGAAAACTCAAAACTGTCCCACGAGAACGTCACAAAGGAGGTAGAACCTATGAACCTGGAGGTGACAAGAAACAACCTCATATAAGCAGGGACAGTTTTCATTGATTCAAAGCTTTAGCAAAATTTTGTGCCACTTAAACTGCAAAAACACTTAACATTAAAGGAATCCAAATGATGAAATTTCAGGGTGGCAAAACTGGATTTTCAAAGTCAAGTTTATGACCATTATTTTAATGTAGTAAGTTGACTCAACCCTAATTAGCATTTGGATATCTGTGAGGCAAAATGCTATGCCACAGACAGAAAACAGTAGTTGCTTGTTTTGTATCTATTCATTGGTGTTACCCCCAAAATAAAGACACATATCACAATCATGTACTTAATGGTTTTGGGGCTTCTTCAATCGTTTTAAGAAATGAAGTGCTAAGAAATGGCAGTAAGTATCAGCATCAGACAGACTTCCCCTCCAGAATCTTTTGTTTTGCTGCCCTGAAATTGCACTGGATGCCTGTACACATGTAACAATTGTCTAAGTCAGGTGCTACATGTACATACCTTTCGAGTAGAAGTCTTCCATGTGAGATGATTTTAGACTCCACTCCAACTTTGATTCCGTTTGAAGTCACCTCAGCTCTGGTGTAGGATATACTGAAGGCCCGTACGGTGACGAAGTACGTACCGCCGGATATCATATCTAAGTTGTGCAGTGTCATGGTGCGGTTTTTGCCCACACTAGTGAAGGGGTGTATGTTGCTTCTGGTGCTGACATAGCGACGATCTGTTCCCACTGCCACTTCATAGTGATCAATGGTTTGATGCTTGTTGATCAACAAATCCTCCCTTTCGTTTCCTTAAATTGTAAAATATATGTGAAAAATATTAGTTGATTTCATGGACATTACATCATAAATACATGTACCTGATTAAACATAAACAACATCAATGAAAATAATGGGAGGTAAATATTGCTAATGTTAAAAATGAAGTAGGTCAACTTCTCACAGCCTATTTTTGGAATTCTACTATAGTAACTTATTAAAGATCATAACACAGAAGAGTAGCCTAGGCTTACAATCTGATCAATATCATCATCAGAAAATAACCAAACATCTCTGTTGTACAAGAGGGTACATGTATAATACTGTATGAAAAACGTCCAGGACATCTGATAACTGACTATTAAATTGTGAATGAATGGGGAAATTATTTTCAATACCAAGAAGACTAATAAAAGCCGTGGACTGACCATTTGAGACTTCAGGTGAGAAGATGTCGTTGCCAAACCGGTCCCAGGTTGCTGAAAGCGTTGTGTTGGAAATTTGGTAGTTCTGGTCCAGTACTGCGATCGCCCCATCTCTGACTATCCCGGGTCTGAGAGGCTCCAGCTTGATTCTGATTCCGTTGGACCGGAGAACAAAGTTGTCGCCGAGTTGGTTCATCGCTTGCACAATGACGAAATACCCCTCTCCATCTCTGGCTTTGATGTTGCTGTTTTCACCAAAAGTCTGGTCTGTATTCAAATCCAAAAGATAAGATAAATCTTTAACATTATGTTCAGTCAGATATTTAACTACAAATTGAATGGCTCCTAACATGACACAAAGGTCCCCAGTTTTTAGGGCTTGAAAATCAGAGTTTTCAAAGTCAATATTCTAGTCATTTATCTACATACAAAGTTGAAACAGCACTATCCCAAATCCCAATGTATATCAACATTTCATGGAACAAAAACGGTGAAAATTGTGGCGGAAAATGGTTACTGGTAGGATCCTGGACTGATTTTTGGGGTACCACCCAGAAAATAAAGGACTCATCTGGAGGCTTGCTTCTGCCCAAAGTATGAAATACTGAATGCAAGTGTGCTAATGTGGGACAGTATGTGCCAATTTCATACAGATTGCCTTATTCAGAATACCCCAGTTTTGCCACCCTGAAACTGCATTGGATGCCTTTAACATTTGATGTAATTTACAGTCCTTCCAGAGTACATAGAGGCCATACAAGTCAATCATACCTCCTGGAAGGGTGGCAAAGGGCTGAACCTCCACACCATCCATGCGGTGTATGGACCAGTTGTAATGCATCATGGGACAAGGGTCACCAAAGCTCCATCTGGCTGACAACTCATCAGTCACATCCGTAAAGTCCCTGTAGAAAAGACAGTCAAATAAGTATTTCTTTCCCTTAGCATAATATAACTTTGTTAGCCTACAACCACATGACAAATGCTTGTCTGCCCAGGCTACTAAACTGGTACATGATCATGACTGTTAAACATTTCAACAGTAACTTCAAACAAAATGGCATTCATAACCGTGTGGAGTCCTCTCTGTTGAAACTTCACAGTTTGTACAGAATGTATTTAGACCTCTATTTTGAAACTTCACAAGGTTTGTGTTCCACACATTCTTGTTTGAACAATTTTGATTTCAATACTCTCTGAGTTGGCTGACTCCTTTTAATTTGGGAATTAAATTTATTTCACATCAAAAACTTTATTATATCACTGCTTCAAACCATTTTCTTTTGTGTTGGAACTAAGCTTAAACTTTGCAACTATGGATTCTACCAACACAGATGAGGTTTTCATTTGAACCTTTCTGTAATTCCTTACCTGTCTATGCCAGGCCATTTCCCATCATGCACATATTGCGGCTCCAAAGCCGCCAGCCCGGCAGATATCCTGCTGATGTACACGCCGTCTGACCGTGCAATGGCGAACCGCCCGGCGCCATTGTAGCCCCGGATGGTCGCGAAGACCTGGGGCACGCTGAGAAGGTCAATGGGGTTGAAGATGTAGGACGTCTCGCCCAAGGGCACATCAGTGAAATACCGCAGGTCTGCTCGGCCAGAGGCTGTCCCGAGGGCAATTTCATACCTGTGTGATGATATAAACAACAGCATTGGGTCAGTATCATCTAGAGTAGTATGCCACATGTCTCATCCATGAGAGGAGACAGCATTTCGCTATGCATTCAAGGAGGAAAAACAAGGGAGAGAGCATGTTCTTCTCTGAGCTCCAAAACATGGGCAGACCAAGCACAACCTACACAATGGCATTGTGTGAGGATGCGGACAATAAACTTACTATAAACACGATTATTCTTGAACAACTTGTAACAAGTACTTTATCTCTACAAATTTGGCAATAATATATAGTCTTGCACCAGCATAGTATATATAGCATGAGTGGATAGTGTTCAGCACCAAGGACAGGCATGTTCACCTGTGGGTGGATAGTGTTCAGCACCAAGGACAGGCATGTTCACCTGTGTGTGGATAGTGTTCAGCACCAAGAACAGGCATGTTTACCTGTGTGTGGATAGTGTTCAGCACCAAGGACAGATGTTGTTACTGTGTGTAAACCCTAGTGACACAATCAGAGATGACAACGGTTCGACCTTACCTTATAAGACCTGAGTCAGGGTCCACAAATGGCTCCCAGACAACATGGACATGGTCTACAGATGTCTGGCATGTCACATCCCTCGCAAGGCATTCTGACAAAAAATATACAAAAAGTCTTGATATATTGTATAAACTAAAAATGGATTGATATACATGTATCTTCAAAACCTTTCACTGTGTACTATTACCAGGCATGTTGTGTGTCTTAAAACTATAATGATCATCATATCTATATTTAGATACTTTGTATATTACATGTTTGTATTAAAAATTAATGAACTTTATGAATCATATTTTAAGTAAAAATCATTGTACATGTACATTGAAAGGAATTACTGACAGATATTGTAATTGACCAAAAGGCCTATAGAATATACATAGTATGAGATAATTCTACCTACCAGCTTCGGTACTGCAAAGAGTGTCAGTCACATTGTCACTGACTTCAACAACGACTCCGGGAACTGGTGGAGTGGCATCAACAAGAATGACGTTGGAGTAGCTGATACTCTGAAGGTTGGCTCCGTTCACAGCAGTCACGGTGGCGTAGAGTTTCGTACCATGTGCCAGAAAAGTCTCATTCAAGTCTTTAGAAGAGGAGAGGACAAAATATATTTAGTTTCTTAGACTATTTATAGTCAATCCTACCCAAGGTGACCACCCAGAGGACCAAAGAAAAGTGGTCTCCTTGGACAGGTGGTCTCCTTGAAGAGGGTTGACTCAAAAAATGATTAAGACATTTTTTTCAAGTTGAGGTACTTTACTTATTGGTCACCACCTAACAAGACAGGAAGACCACATCAAGGTTATGGGTTACATGTATTCTACATGCAGAGGTTGGTGGGGAAGATTGTTACCTTTTTATATACTAGTATGCCCCATTTTTTCTGTCAGGGTAGCGAAAACAGGTAAGATAACAATCTTCCCCACTGACCTGTCCATGGAGAGTAGGTTACATGATGGGCGTTTTCATGTCAAATACTGTAAGAATCTTTAGATCTGCAGGACCAATAGATTTATATCAAGCTAAATTCAAATGCAAAAACAGCAGTAAATCTATGTAAAAAGAAAGCAAACAAACTTGCACCTTTGATGCTGACGGAAGTTGTTGGTGGGTAGAAAGTGGTGGGTTTGAAGACAGAAGTGTCAGTTTCGTTGAGGCCCATGCTGAAGATGAAATGTTGTACACCGCTCTCCTGGTCATTGATGCCGTCCCAGCTACACGTGAATGCCACTTCACCGGATATGTGCTTAGGACATGCAACAGTCACACGTTCTGGTGGATTATCGTCAAAAGCAACCGGAGGAGAAACATCTGAGGCTACCAGCCCAACCTGTAGAAGTCAAACAAAAAAATAAGGAGAATGACACTCAGTTAGATTGGGACATCATCATAAAAACAATCACTTCAAGATCATTTTTCACTTTATCTGTCAGCTTAGCATTGTATCAGCATCATAAAACACAGATTGAAGTGACAAACCCTTCACAAGTATTATTTTTATTTATTGGTCTGGCTGTTCAATTACACACACAGCCAGGGAAACTCAACTAGCCTGTGGCCATTACAAAGGGCTTGCTCTTCTGACATGACAGGACTAGACATGTAGATTACAGTACACTTACATTGTTCATTGCAGTTACAGTGACCACGTTTGGAGTGCCATCAGCCGAGGGTGTCAGCAGGCCAGCTGCCAGGCTGGTTCTCTTCTCTGCGTTGGTGACGTTGTACAGGTCACTACTGACCGGCGTGAACCCAATAGCAAACCACGCCGCGGCGATAGCGCTCTCGTTGTCTCCGACGTTCCATTCTGCGGCCAAGCTGCCGGCGTTTATCGCCTGGTAAACTGTATCACGTCCCAGTGGCTTCTCGTTTCCAGAATCGTCCTCATCCTCGCCAACTGAGACGATCGAAACGCTAGGAGCCGATTGGTCGACGCCGAAGCCATCTGATGTCGACTCTAGGATGTTCAATGCTCCAGTTATTGCCCGGACGCTGGAGAAGTATTGAGTGGACGAGGAGAGAGGCAGTGGAAGCTGCGCAACTCCACTCCCAGGTTTGTCTGTGAAAATAAGAAATGGGTGAAAACCATGTCAAATCATCATCACTCAAATGTCAACAAGGCGTGCCTGCAAATCTGATGTGTTATGCCAAAGGGTGGTTCTACCTACTATACAAATACTGATAATGATACAGAAAACCACCATCGGAGTAAAATTAATATTAACAACAGTTACCCCCGTTTCTCAACCCTTGATCAAGTCCTACCGGTAGGTCAGATTATATGGACAACTTGAGATTCATTACAGTCTAAATCACATGTAAAATAAGGCTTACAAAGGAAATGTCATAATCACACAAGAATAGTTTTCAGGTCAGATACTGGCCCAGTGGTTATTTAATAAGAAGTACCTGTCAGTTTGCTCATGCAGCCATAGTGGCAAAGGCAATATCTCTTTTGCTTAGAAATGAAGTAAACCGCTGTAGTTACCGTCAAATGCCACAATCCCCGTGTCTGTGAAAGGCTGGATGTCATCTGCACCAGGAGTGGTCCCCACTCCCCACTCGTAGCCAATGATGCCGTGTTGAGCGCTCTCGTAGCCTTCAAACTGCAGACTAACTGTTGTGGCTTCCAGCTGGTAGTTGATGTCTGTTGTTGGAGCTGTCAGATCGCTGGATCCAGCACCATCAAACACTAGTCCACTAACGTCAGCTCGCACAACCTTAATTGGACTGGTGGAAAGAAGTTGTGAATTAAACCTGAGATAACTATCTTTTATTATTATTATTAAAGGATTTGAATTCTTTCACCAGAATTTTTTTGCCAGGGGGTATTAAAGAGGCGATCTACATCACTCAGGGTATTACAACTGTCCCTTAGCAAAGACGGTGGTGCTACAGACTTTCTGCAACATATGATCTACTGCTCACTGAGTCACATGTGTCATACATGTATGTATAATTAATATATCACGTCACAGAAGCGGTGGATTGCTCATTTCTTGACCAAGACTGGAGTTATACAGTTGAAAATTTGGGCAAGTCCAATTTCTTGAGTTGGAAATTACAGTTTAAACTTACTTCATAATGACTTCTAATAATACAGATGAAGTTTCAAGATAAGATTTCAGTTCATCCCAATCAACAAATCAGTTTACTAATAGGAAGACCAAAAACAGTGCTTATAGCACTAAAATTGGATGATCGATGGTCACCATTCTACAATATTGTTTGTGAAGATATGAAAGTCATTGCAACATTTGAGAGAAAACATTGTCTGGTGACAACCCAAGCTACAAAATGAAGACATGTTTTTGACAGAATAATAATACATGTATCTAATATCTCTGACTATGTTAGCAAAACTTGGTGTCTACCTTGCTGTTATTGTAGTAGAGTAAGCCCCAGCACCGTTCTGTGCCTTGACAGAGAGGTAGTAGATCGGGGCCCCGTTTTCAAAAAGTTGGACAGGAAGCTCTGTCAGAATGACGTCTGTTCCTGGACCAGCATCATAGAATGCCACCACATCATCTCCTCCTGTATCAAATTAAATGCAGAATATGTTTGCTATTGATAATAACACAATACAGTCATGATAATACAGTCATGATAATATATAAAATTCTATAAAAGGTTGTGTGGCATAATGACAGAGCATTTGGCAAGAGGTCCTGGGTTCGAATCCTGCCAAGCTAGTAACCAAGTTGAACCTTGAACTTGGGAAAGGCACTTTACATTTTCAAAACTTCAAACTAGGTCTATCGATTATGCAGGAGGTTATCAAGTCTGTATCCTGACTTCGCTTAGGTAATAATTAGTATGCCAGAATGATTATTATTATTATGATTGTCCATTTTCCGCAGACTGCAAAATTTTGCTACCGTGAATATAAAGTGATTTACAGTTACTGTAATTTGTTCTATTTGGCATGGTAGTGTTGGAAGCTGTTTTCTACTCACCAGACGTAGTTCCCAGTCCTATCCAGTAGGCATCGATTCCACTCTCCCCATCCACCGCCATCCAACTGGCCGTCAGGATCCCTGCGTCCGTGATGACCACGAATCCGTTGGTCAGCTCTTCATCTCCGGACAGGACTCCAGCATGGACGTACAGCATCTGTGTAGCAACATCAGCATTTTTCCGTGAATAGTTTCATCAGGTTGGTAAGACACTGAGTAAAGAGACTCTTTTTACACAACCTGCCCTGAGGAAGGTGACAGACGGTCACCGAAACATCGACTGAATAAATGACTTGGTTGTGTAAAAAGAGTCTCTTTACTCAGCATTTTTGTCCTTGACTATCTGCAATCTAACACCACACATATCAAGGAGATGAGACAGGGGAGTGGGTGTGGTAAAAATTTACTGTTGTGAACATAAAAATGCTCAGAAATCTGAAATCTCTGATTTCTTCATAGAATATTCAAAATGTACTACTGGATAAAATATGTTGATTACAATTTATTTCTGGACAATTCGAGTGACATCCACTACTCATCTAAGCGCCACTCTGATTTCTTATTAATCTATAGGGTACATTTTTTTGGCAAAGAATTATTATTATATAGTAATCAAAAATCACAGTTACCCGAGGAGGTGTAGGGTCAACCAGAACACCGTCAGTCTCATGAACTGCTGTTAGTCCAGCTGCGTTGATGGCGTGTACTTTGACGGTGTAGAGGGCACCGATATTCAGACTCAGAGGTTCGGTTGACGTCCAGTTCTTCGTCTCTCCATCAAGAGAAACACTAGGATGGGAAATGGCATTTACTCATCTGGACAGTACTAGTATCATCATGTGCATGATGCTGGAAGTCTGTGTTGGTATTAATCTTAGTACGATGCTAAACTTTATTCCAATACAAAGGATACACAACAAATTTTTAGATGTAAAGTAAAATCTTGGGAAATTTTGCAAACTCAGTTCAAGCTAGCAGTAACATTGACATAATGTACTTCAGTCTGTCATTTGCTGCAACATTTCTTGAAGAACCCTACCATTAGCAACTGTTACAGTATTGATTTGTTCTGATCTATCTATAATAATATTGCATTATAAATTATATAACAAGGAAAATAAAAAAAAAAGAATAAATAAAAGAATAAATAAATGGATAACCTACAGGCTTCCCAATGGTATCTTTGTCCCTCCGTATGTCTGGTACGCCTGTAGCTCGATGTGGGACACTCCTGTTTCTTCATCCACAAAGTTCCAGTTGGCTGACAACTCTGTCGTGCTTGACTAAGATTTAATGTAAAATGTTCCTACTAGTTAGCTTAAAAAGAACCATAAAGAATATGTCTAAAGTTTGCATTCCAAGTGGTTACTTTGATCTCCGAGCAGGTGCAATACAGTTACATCAAATTGGCAAGACAGTATCAAATTGGCAAGACAGTATCAAATTGGCAAGACAGTATCAAATTGGCAAGACAGTATCAAATTGGCAAGACAGTATCAAATTGGCAAGACAGTATCAAGTTGGCAAGACAGTATCAAATTGGCAAGACAGTATCAAATTGACAAGACAGTATCAAATTGACAAGACAGTATCAAATTGACAAGACAGTATCAAGTTGGCAAGACAGTATAATTGGCAAGACAGTATCAAATTGAGACAAAGTATCCTGGCTAAACAGGTGGCCGATATAGACTCCCCTTGCCCAGGATAATCTGCTTAGAGATGAAGCAAACTTAGCAAACAAAACTCACAGAATACTGTGCATCTTTGTCAGGGTCCAGGCCATCACGAAGGTAATTCAGGACAGGTGGAGTCAGGTCGAGTACAAACCCGTCTGACTGTAGGGTTGTTACTCCCAGAGCCCTGTTGGTGACAGCAAGGTTCACAAACACCTGGTCTCCCTGGTGAAGGTGGAAATGGTGCCAGCGGAAACTCGTGGTCATTCCGACCGACTCACTCTCGTGAATGACCTCATCTCCGGCTAAAATAAAGAGGTCATACTTCAGGAAGGATTGCAATACATGTATCATCAAATGACATACATGTACATGTAGTATACATACAATGTACATGACAGCTTTTACCACAAAGAGCAATTCTATCATGCCTTGCTACATAACCTTATTTTTATACATGCCATATATTGAAGACTATATCTGTTACCTGCTACTATGTTGAAATTGTACATATTCTGCATTTAGCATAACTCAGCATTAACAACCAGGCATTCAATATGGTTTGCCAGCATTATATTGGACATTGTAACATACTGTAGTACTGAAAGTGACTTGTGGAAACTCAACTTAAAAGGAGCTACAAATGTAACAACATCCCTTGTACAGCACTTTAGAATATGAAATTGATAGTCCAATTTTCTTATAATTATGTACATGTACATATACTATATACTAGTAAGACTGGGTGGAATATTGATGGTCGATACACATTTTTTCTTGTTTTCAGTGTCTGCCTTGATTTTAATTATAAAGCTGTTTTACACACATTGTCAAAATGTTATCATGTTTTTAACTCCTGTGTCAAAAGCGTAATGCTTTATGGGTCTGAGACCTGGGCGGTGTCCACGGAAGACCTTAGAAGGCTAGACAGATGTGACAACGCCATGATTAGATGGATATGTTCCAGTAGACTGGCTGATAGGGTGTCAAGTGATCAGCTTAGGTGTAGGTTAGGCGTAAGCAGTCTATGTGAGATCTTGCGCTACAACAGACTTCGCTGGTATGGGCACGTGCAAAGGATGGACCCGCAGAACTGGCCAAGGAAGGTCATGACAATGCCCGTAGAGGGACGAAACCCGCGTGGCCGTCCAAAAAAGAGATGGGTAGACAGTATTAGGGAAGATGTCAAAAACTTGAAACTGCAGAAGGCCAACCCGCTAGACAGAAGCAGCTGGAGAGCAGCTATTACACCCAAACGACACCCCACGACGTCCAACCCTTGCATGACGGGGAACAACGGACGCTAAGCCGTGCAGTGAGTGAGTGAGTTATCAACTTGTGTTATCCTAGCGCTAGAAACACAATTTGTTAAGAATGATACACATGAAAAGCATACTCATGTTAGCTCCTTGGTTCTTTGATTTCCTGACCACCGAGATGGTGTAGTCCTTTAAGCCAGACTCTGGGTCTGAGAAGTTTCCCCAGTGTCCGGCCACAGTAGCAGGGTCTGAGGAGAAGGTAATGTCCTCTCCCACAACATCTCCATCCTCCAGAAATCCACCCACAGGTGGGGTAAGGTCCACCATTACTGAGAAATAGAAAAATGCCAACAATCAGACTTGATATTTTACTTTTGTATGAGATTGGGCATTTTGGACTATTATGATTATACACGATATATACACTGTACAATATTTATCATAATATATGAATACAATTATTACAATATCAGTCAAAATTCCAGTTGTGGTTAAAAAGATATGTCCACGATACAGAATTGCCTTTTCCATGAGAGTGAGCATTCCTGACTAACATATCATAATTATTCAATACATGCTGTACAATTACAATATCAATACCATTGAAAAGTCAATGTATCGTGATCAAACTTTCAGACATGGTTATTTAATAATAGAAGAAAATGTCAAAGAAATAGATTCTGAAACAATTTCAAATTGTTTAATCTATACTGTACACAGAATATTGCTTACTTCCTACTGTGGTTGCTGATACATTGAGACGTTTATGCCCTCGGTTGAAAGCATACAGTGTTGAATAGTATGTTGCATTGTGAGTTAGGTTCACGGAGTTGTCGCAGTGCAAAAAGACAAAGTGGTTAAGACGTTTGAACTCCACAATATCATCGTCTCCGGGAGATGATCCTACACCCCACAAGTAGTCAGCTGGGAAAAGAAAGAATGTATTTGAATAAATAATCATACGACTCACTTACACTGAGAAACTTGTCATTTATCTTAAACAAATCTTGGACACTGATAGGTAAAACAGCCGGTTCAATTACTCAGTCACTGATGAAAAGCTACTTGAAACACCTGACAAAATCTATCTAGTAGTTGCTTTAGTAACAGTTTTCTTTTGTAAGTCATAAGCTACATATCTACAAAAATGTAATCTTCATCAAGGCAAAGGAAGCTTTACTACCAAACATCTTTCAAAAATCTAAATGGTAGTCTAAGAGCATTTAGATAACATCCCATGAACTTCATAGACAAGTTATTTTTCATGGTGAATTAATCGGTTGTTAGGACAATGACAAATAGTAATGGTTTGCTCCTAAAACTACCAGTCAAGGTACATTATTTTGTATAATGACCTTATCACATTATTTATAGTCTGACAGAAAATGGAATTAAATGTCACAAACTGAATGTATCATTATACATGATACAATCTCTTCCATACAAAAGACTATGAATTCAGCACCAAGGAGAGGCCCATAACTATGAAGGAAAGTAATGTGATCCTCCAGTGATGAATATTCATCTGTTAACAAGTTTTATGGTCATTCAGATTTAATATCAGGGCTCCAGATCCCAAAATGTATATTTTTTGCCTGAAATGGTAAAAAAAAACTGATTCATATATACTTTTAAAAGCCTGTATCCAGAAAATGAAAAAAACAACATCTGGGGGTATTTCGCCACTCTACCTTCATGCCAAATTTCTTGTTATTTGGCCCAAAAATGAATAAATGACTAAATACAATGTAGCAGGAGGAGAAGAAACATAAGGGAAAACAATATGTTTCATCACAGCCATAATAAATGACGAACACTTTACCTATGCCCGTGTCTGGATCCTGGAAGTTGTCCCAGTTGGAGCAGTACTCATTCTGAGTGGCCGTGTAGTTCACTTGTCGCCCGTGACTTTTCCCATCGTAAATTTCGCCAGCCAGAGGGTGTGTCATGTCGATCATGATTGGGTACGGGCCGTGACCGGTGGTTCGCAGATCAACTGCAAAGATCAGACATCAGAATATTAAGATACTGAAGAATACATTGGCTAATTTCAGCACGTTGGCAGAACGTAGTGCATCTGCGCAAAACCACAATTTTTTTTACGGTTTTCTTTGGATTATTGACTAATAATAAATGTCAATGTTGCATCAGAATTTTGCCTGTACCTTTTCTGACATAACATTTGGAAACTGGTTAACCAAGAAATTAAATTGGTGTGGCCTATTGATGAGGAAAATATTCCCTATATCTATTGACAATAAAGTTCAGTGAGTATTGATGTATGATACATTACCATGGTTGACTGCACGGATACGTAACCAGGTTGGCACACCATCTGGGATCTGGAAGGTGAAGTTACATTTTTCGGTGTCCTCATACAGGAACCAATCCAGGAGGTACGTGTCCCTTTTACTCTTGCCAAGTCCGATGTGCATCAGCTCAATACCAGAAAGGGGATCACTGTAAAACATATTCGGTAAACATGTTGTTTCCTCTTCTCCTCCAAACCAAAAAGGTCCATATTTTTTAATGGCCAGAGAACACAGAAAGTTACGGAAATTAGCAACTCTTGATCTTCTGCAAGTCTTCCTAACATTTTCTATGAATTGAATAAAGTTAGTCATACCTGACATTGTATGATGCTGATATGACGTAGGTCTGGTCATTGTACAACATTTCATGCACTTCATTGATGAAAGGCTCCGTGTTGTCGATGGCATATGGAACTGAGTGGCAAACGGTTGTAGCAAGTGGTCCGCCGTACTCAACTTTGTTTATGCCACGGACAGTCACAAAGTAAAGTGCATCTGTAACAGCAAGTTACAGCTGTGTTAGTATTAAGACTCCTAACTTAAAGGCTACCGAGTCAACCCTCCTCACTCAGGTGTAAGGACTGACACGGTCATCATACTTGGAATATCTATATCTGTATATCTGTACATGAATCTTTATCTGTACAATCATGAATCTGTACCTGATAAAGATCTCGGGTGATCGCCAGATTAAAAAATAAGTAGTAATACAAGTAAGTTACTATAGGTAAATGTGGTGAAAGAAATCTCAATCAAAAGAGCATGGTCTCATCAGAAAGGACCTTCCCATGACTTTGCTCACAACTACTCTCCAACCAAGGTCTATGTTGGGATGGTTCAATGTAGTTGCCTAGAATCTATCTTACAGGTATTCCAACTAGCTGCATGTGCTGTCACATTTGTGCTGGATCTGCAGAATTGTTTCTTATAAGCTTTGTTTTGTGGTGAAAATCGAAGTAAATAAAAATAAAAAGCTCCAAAAGTTCTCTTACATGTGTCTTATCCAAGCAGAATATGACTTTCCCGACTTTGATTCACCAAAGTTTATATATATAATATATACCATGGTCTGGAGAGGGTTGGGAGGCCATAGCCAACTTTTCTTACCTGCTGAGTCTCTTTGGCCCATTGCACAAGACAAGACAAAAGAGACTTGGCAGCTAAAATGTTTTTAACCCGAGTACTATGTGTGACAGGCTTAAATTTGGTTCTTTGAGATGTAGCATGTACATCATGTATCTGTATCTGTATCAGTATAGCCGGTATAACCGCCCTTCTGTGTAACACACCAGCTTTGCAGGCATGCGGGGCAGCAGCAGCTAGCTATATCACACCGAACGACTTGTTACACTCAATCTTTGCACATTTAATTGCAGAGCTTTCTAGTGATGATGCCCCTACTGTGCTTGGTGGCAACGAGTTCCAGTCTATGTAAATGAAACATCTACAAATTGTACCAGGGAGGTCCAGAGGGTGAGCCAGTCCAGTATGTGTCCATTCTGACTCATCAAACAGGTGACCATGGGGGTCCTTGTGAGGATGGATGTTCTCCAAACACTTCTCTGTTCCCACAGACCAGGTGTAGCCATAGATCCCTGTTTCATTGTCATGGAAACCATCCCAGTTTGCTGCAGAACAAACAGACAAACCAACAATAATTATTGTATATGTATGCAACTTAATGGTTTTAATTATGATGATAGTTGTTATATTGAAATCTTTTAGTAATGGTAATATTAGTTTTACACTTAGCCGATAATTTGCTTGTTCAATGATTTTAGCTATAATTAGTACCTTGTCTGACGTGTGACCTCAACGTGTATGTAAATGTGTATGTTTGTACTGTGTGTGTAATGTGTAATGAGCCCTGGAAGATTAGCACTAACGGGCTAAAGGGTATCGTAATAAACTGAACTGAAACAAAAATGGTAGTAAAGTTAAAATGATATAAGAACAAAATTTATACAAAATGTCCAAAAATGTGACAGTGTAACTGACTGAGTGTACATTTCTTGCTTATTCCTGCATGCTACAAAATTCCACAAAGATTCAAGATAATCCTATCCTACAATGTATTTGTGTCCCAAAATTAACACAAATATCAGAGTTGACTTACCCGACACATACTGGTTGGCACGTGTGTACAGAAGGTCTTCAAATGGAGTGTGGCCGTTGAAAACAGTGGCAGACCCCTCTCCATCAATGATGTACCTTTGAAGGAATGTGTCCAACATTAATACAGACTGGATAAAAGATTAGAATCAATCTACGCCATGTTGTTAACAATATTACATAAGGAAGGTATCATTACATAATGTTACATAAAGTGCAAGGCAAAAGGTCAAGAATATTTACAAAATTATACTTTTCTAGCAGACGTATGCAAAATACTGTCACCAATACAGCAAGCTGATCATGAATTACATGTACAACTGCAAACACACCACCCGCGGATCCAGAGGGGGGCGCACCCGGCGCGCGACCCCCCCCGTTCGACCGGGCAAAAAAAATTTAGACGACTGGCCAAACACAAAATCGCAGAAAAAACATAACACAAAGAATAGAAAGGAAGCCTATGGTTACGACCAGTTCTTCCCGGACACGTATCACGGACTGTAGAAGTACAGAGCTGGGGCGACGGCGCGCCGCGCACGTGTTAAAATCCAGATTTTACACTATGACATGATTAGCGGGCACGCCCCACCACGCCTAGACTCGATTATTGTTTACTTGTTAACACACTACTGTGAATCCCTAGCCTTTGTGCCTCCCATCTATCGTCCATATTGACACGACGTTGCAGTAAAACAAGACTCAGACGCACGGTAAGAAAATGTACTAGGTCACTCACGTCCCGAGCGCAAAGACGCCCGGTGCTCGTAGGTCATGCCGACGGGAAAGTTCGCCAGCCAGCGGATCTCAGTGGAACAACGGCCGAAAATAAATACCCCCGTAAGAGTAAACACAGTTCTAAGAGGGTTGGTAAGATTTAAAATGGTCTGCAAGCCGTGAACGTTCTTGGTCGTCGTAACGTACCATGAATATAACATGGCAGTTTTGCCTCAACTGATGGACAGTTCTAATGCACTTTCGGCTAGTTAACACAGAAATCTTTTAAGATTATATCCATGCCGTGCCGTTACAAAGGTTCGGTTGACAGAAATCTTTTCATTTCGTATCACAAATCTCTTTAAATCCTAATAAATGTTGCAGGAAAATTATTTTGTAGCGGGACTATACCAGCCAGCGGTACAAAGTGAAAATGCGGGGTAAATGTACACGGCACGGTTTGCTACAACAACGCTTTGAAATCTTCTACCGCCCGCCCGGTGGGCGGGGCCCATGCTCGTGCTGCTGAGGGCGTGACGCCGCTCTGTCTGATCAGAACGTGCCGTCGTCTTGGCAACACGTGGGAACGTCCCAGCGACGAGAAGCTTTCCATGCCGGGAAGTGTTGATTTTGTGACATAAGCAGTGGTTTACGAGATATTTTTTGAAACCATTTTGCTCGTTCCCGTTCAGAATTGTAAGTCCCAGTAGCCCCTCGTTCTCGTTTGGTTTGCATCAAATTTTAAATTCGGTAGCACAGGCTCACTTCTCCGTCTCGATAAATCGTTGCTCTCCGATGGGCGGTCAATTGAATTTTTGATTAACTACGCCGAGCTAACTTTTCCGTGGTTCATTCAGCAAGTTGCAGTAGGAACGGTGGCCCCATTCAATCAATGTGTGTCTTCCGCTGACACCCGGCGCTCAGGAATTTAGTATTCTCCTTAAAATTTTGGGAAGTCTTAAAAATGGTAAACACGTGCGCGGCGCTCCGTCTCCACGGCCGTTACTTCACATGTTATTAGTGTTATCCGTTAGTGTATTTGAGTGCTGCGATGTTGTGACCGCGCGTTCCCCGCGATCGGAAAATGATTTAAGTGATCAGGTCTATAAAGAGGCGGCATTTCCTTTTGTATTTGGTTCTTTTTTTCGCTAACTAAAATCCATCGCGAACTCTTTATTTGCCCCGTTTCGTGAAATAAGGTCGTCCCAAACATAGATGCATTTGCAATATTCTATTTTCTCAGTCGTAAAATGTACCGACAGGCACATGAATGTATTGAAAACATCAGTATTAGTTCGTTGTTTTTTTGCTCAGAAATGACTCTAAAATGCACCAGAGAGACTCTCAATTTTAAAAATTTTCTGGGGGAGGCCCCCCAAACCCCCCCCAACGAGAGGGGGGCTTCCTGACGCGCAGCGCTTACGTGGCCTTCGGCCACGTCAGGTGGTGCGCCCCCCCGTTCACAAATTTCTGGATCCGCGGATGCACACTGATAAAAAAAATGATCAAAAGACTCTGCTGAAGGTCACTGATGGACTAAAATAAGGATTCCTAAGCTCTTAAACAATTTTTTAAATTCTTAAACAAATTTAGGGCACTGTCTTAGATGTTGGTGCAATCCTTCTTGAAGAAAATTCGAGAAAGCAAAACATTCATAAAAAAACAGACTAATACTATATATTGGTGCAAATATCTTGAAGTTAGCCTCATGCACATTATTTTTTTTTTATTGAATGATACAATATTGGACTGCTTACCTGTGGTTTGGCAGGTTCGATTCATCCACACATCTGTTCTCCCACTTGTCAGGGAGAAGTTCATGACACGGCTCCTTGACAGTTTCATCATAGTGTGCATTCTGTATGGGTCCGGGGCTGACTGGGGTAAAGTCAACCTTCACCGGTCGAGAGGTCAGGATACTGCTGTAGCCTAAAAACATTGAGAGATCGAAAAATCGAAAGATTAAAGTCTGTTAACATTCCCATTTAGTATCATATGATATAGCCAGAAGAAGTTGACAAAACATGATCAGAAGGCTCCATTTCCCATGGGTTATCAGGCCGTAACCTCAAAAGTGGTCGGTTATTAGAATAACCCACCACTTTTTGGACCGTACCATATTATGAGGGACAGGACACTAACAGTAGTATTAAGACTTGTAGTGTGTACTATCTATAAAAAACGTATTGTGCTTTATCATACGCTACGCTCACTTGGTGGTTTATTCGGTGGTTATTGCACCTGACCAGGAATTATCTCGCCAAATACACATTAGGGCAGACCATTTTACCCTTTATTATTACTGCCTTGTAAACATAGCCTCCTTATTCATAGCAGCTCTAAAACTGGACTTTTTGGGGAGCCTTTCTAATGTGTCTGTATCTGAATGTGCTTGTAACAAGATTCTTTTGCCTCCACACTGGGCCAAAAGTAGAATGGCTGGTACAAAAAAATTGATACAAGTGATACGAAAAAAAAGAAAAAAGTGCATTACAAAGACTAAAAAAAGCCCAAGTTGTAAAGCCTGCTGAGAAGGCAATTGTCATGTGAATTCAAATAAAAATATCATAAGATGCATCTGTGATCAACATAGTGTAAAATATGATTTATAAAAAACTAAAAAGTAGAGACTTTAACACTTACCAAGGTCATTTTTCAGATGGTAGTTGAAGTAGTACATCTGGTTGTGCTCCAACTCAAGATCCCTGTGATCAAAAGTAACAGCCTTGCCAATCCCCAGTCGTTCAAAATAGTGGTAATGCCCAGCCTGTGGAAAAAAGACAGAATTCAGTTGTTTTCATTTCACTATCTCTTAGGTTTAAAATTCAGTATATTATTCCTTTTCTTCACTTCTCAGCCAAGAGTTATTGTACATGTACTAAGTACATGTGTTTGTGGATTTGCAGGGAACAAAATGACTCAAGAAGACATGAATGGATGATATGTCACATTTGTTATGATGTTAGTTCTTGACTTGTATACACAAAGAACTGACTGCAGCTTGGGCCAGCTCGACCCCCAGAAACTCCATTGCTTTAGGTGGTGGTAGGTCCAAAATTGACATAATGTATGTAGGTAACTTATACATGTAGGCCCAAGAGGGTACAGAGCAAATTTTAAAGTGGTGTACAAAATGTAGGACTGGTTTAGGCTCCTTTTAGGCTCTGTTGAGACTGCAGTGGCATTATGTAGCAGACTATGACACAGGCTTACTCAAGGAGAGATAACTGGTTTACGTACGACATGCAGCAGCACTCCATAGCCTTCTACTTCCTGCAAGAGCTCACACTTCCCACTCTCGCCATAGTCGTAGTTGAAGCTGTAGCACACCAGCGGCGGAAGCGCCAAGCAGTCCGCGGCACATTTCCCAGGACTCGTGTATCCCTCTGCAACTTGGATTGGTTTGGACATCAGCTTGCCAAGCTGAGGAGATGTGAACTTGGTAAGAGCGACAAGCTCAGCGTTTGGATCACTGTTCTTTGCTACTATTGCAGATCTCCCCAGGTCTGTCTCGTCTTGAACATCTGCCCACGGGAAGGTCTGGTCACCAAAGATTCCACGGCCAAAGCCAATGCCCTCCTATATATTTGAAAACAAACAGACAACATTCGTGAATAAGTTTCATCAGGTTGGTAAGTCACTGAATAAAGCAGCTCGAAAGAAGAGATTATTACCAGTGTCACCTTTGCTGCACTATGCTCTCAGAATTGCTCTGAGGAAGGTGACAGATGGTTATCAAAACATCGGCCAAATAAAATACTTTTTCTTCAATAAAAATATTGTCATGCTGCTGATCAATTGTAACAATTCATTAATGCTATCAATCAATCAATCAAACAATCAACCAATCAATCAAATCAATCAACCAACCAACCAACCAATCAATCAATCAATCAATCAATCAATCAATCAATCAATCAATCAATCAATCAATCAATCAATCAATCAATCAATCAATCAATCAACCAAGCAACCAACCAAGCAACCAACCAACCAACCAACCAACCAACCAATCAAAAGAAGATACATTGCTAACCTTTTTCTCCACCAGAGGTGTTTCATCCACTGCCATCCCAGTAGCCTTTAACACGTTGGGGGTTACTGGTGGTGAGAAAATCTGGGTTTACCCTGCCTGCGGGAGGGGTCATGTCATAGAAGTCCAGTCCGCAGGTCACACTGGCCGTAGCGCCTGCTGAATTGGTAGCTTTGACGGTGAAGAACAGGGGGATACGCTCGGGTAGAACCTGCAGAAACAAACCACAAGTGGATCAGGTTAAATTATTGCAATATTGACATGAAATGCATTGAACACAAAACCTATTATAGCCCATAGCAGATATTGTCACTGTTTTACAAATTGACAAGGTGGCTGGCAACAATGTTTTAACAGATTTTACTAACACAGATAATCTTTCATTTGATTTTTACCTGATCAACAATGGACGATGGGCCACCCAAGTCGTTGTCCAAGGCCAAGTCACATCCTCCTTGAAACTTGCCGATGCAGTACTTTACTTCCACCTCGCTTTTGTCATCATCCACGGCAATGGCCAGCTGGAACGCCGGCTCGGTGTAGTCGCGCTCTTTAACCTGGTACACCGTGCAGTGACTTGATGCAGGCGCTCGTCTTGCCACACCGCTTGCGGGTTGCTGAAGGATGTCATTGGGAAAATTAACGTTTGAAAATATTGCATAACCTTAGTCAGTAACTGTAACATTGAGGGTCAATCACACAGAGATAGGCTTTTGCAAATACATTGTATGTTGAACTACATGTACAATGTATATGTACTAAGATATAGTGTTTAATGTAACTTTTCTGGGCATACATATACTATGTATAAAATGTATTTTAGCAACAGTGCTCCTTCACAGGAATGTAGCACAATATATCTAAATAAATACATCAGCATAGAGTGAATGTCTCTAATAAATAAAGAATTATACTTTAAATTTGTAATTCCTTCTATCCAGCTTCGTAAAAGTGCTCCCTTCCTAAAAGGGTAGAATATGGTGCATACTACCGGACAGTAAGTGAGTGCGTGAGTGCGTGAGTGCGTGAGTGCGTGAGTGAGTGAGTGAGTGAGTGAGTGAGTGAGTGAGTGCGTGAGTGCGTGAGTGAGTGAGTGAGTGAGTGAGTGAGTGAGTGAGTGAGTGAGTGAGTGAGGGAGTGAGTGAGTGAGGGAGTGGAGTACCAACCGGTGCAGAGTAACTCTTGAATTCAGGAGGTGACTCGTCCTTCTCCTTGCTGAAGGTGTTGAAGATGTTTGCTGTGATGGTTGGAGTCTGATATGACCACAGCAACTCTTGGATGATGACCTCCTCGATTTGTGTAAACAGAAGGTTTATGGTCAATTTCAGGATGACGTGGAGTTCCAGTCGGAGAGGTATGAACTCAAGATCCATTCGAACACTGAAAAAGAGGAATAAAAAAGTTGTTTTAAAGAATGACATACAGCCAGCATTTGAAGCCATGCAGCTGGTTGCCAAAACAAATTGATGTACATGTACCACCAAAAAGAACCCCATTCCACCTTTCAAAAATGAGTAGGCGCCTGCCCTGTGTGCTGTGGTTTAAATGCATATACTTCTACAGTATGTGAAAGTTGGTAATTCACTACAGACTCTAGGAGGAATAAACAGGAATTTACAAAGATTGTAGTACGGACATTGGACAATACAATGTAGAATCATTTCGCATTGTGGTTTCCTTGAACTTACATGTAGTCTAACTTCTCTATTGTTGGGTTTTGGTATTTCACAACACAAGAAAGTCAATCTTGCTCAAAAATCTGTCACCCAAAATCTGAAATGGTTGATAGTAAAACCACAGGTACCAGATGAGTAAAGAATGAATGCCTTACGCAATATCCAGGGGAAACTTGCTGAAGCCAACCTCTGCCTTGTAGGAACTTGGTTGTCAGTAGATAACCAATCAACTTCAGCCCAGCCCGTGAAGAGGAAGAGGTTGATGGAAAGTTCTCCAGACACATAAGCCCCAAGCTGAGGGGTGGCCGTTCCCTAAGGTAGACATACAATTTGTGAATAGCTTTTTTCAGGTTGGTAAAATTTGACTGGCTGGTTAAGGCCACACCAATTTAATGTCTTGGTTAACGGATTCGCACGCTTCATTTTTTTCTGATTTGCAAATAAAAATAAAAATTCAGAATCAACTGCAAAATGCTCATATTTTACCCTGAACATCCGAAAACAGTCCTTTTCACCCTAGTTGTTAGAGTTATTCCATCTTTCGATTATGGTATCATTAAAAGTTCAAAATTCATTGTTTAAATTTTGAACCAGCCTGGTGTGTTGACTTCCTGGCTCCAGTATCATACCATCTTGGGCCATAATAGGATGCCCAGGCCTGTTCTTATTTTTATTACTCCGTGAAGGAGGTCAGGACCTCCGGACGGAGTGTTGTGAAGAGCTGTTTTTTCGTGTTCGCAGTCAAAACACTCTTTGTGTAATCGGCATGCAATTTTATACAAAAATTGAATTTTAAAATCCAGTTTTACTGCGGCCCTGCAATCACTTTGATGAGTGCCTTAAATAAAGCTCTAAGTACAAAATTAACCAGCATTTAAAACATATAGATAGTATAGTCATCATAAAAAAAATAGATCATTGCAATGGTGGAAGGAACAGATCATCTTACCGTGGCTTTCATAGTCATGAAACAGAGATTGACCCCAGCTTTCAATGACCAAGTTCCTCCTGCGATAAAAACTGTCAACAGAGAACAATGTTAAGCTTTAGCACGATGTACATGTAGGAATCATCACAGGAACATCTATATTGTGCGTTATAGGGATGCAAGATTGCAAATTTATGGGCACATGTGCATTGTTATGTGCAACAGTTGCTATAATAAATAACACAATATGAAAGCACGTACACAATGTCATGTATACTACCAGACTATTAGTCATACATGTACAATGTTGCTAATTCAATCAAACGTAGGGATGCAAAATAAGCATTAAATGTAATACAGCAAGTTCAACTATCTAACTGTGAATAGCTTAGATTCATATTATGTACATTGTAAGCCAGACATTATTAAAATCATCTGTCGTGAAAGCATGGCAATCCCTCTAGCAAGCACAATCCACGTTTTTGTTTTACACGTACAGTAACGTGTGTGTCTGTTACTTTTAAAACATTCAACGCAAACAATAAATGTAGAATGAAACTAATTGTAATAATAAGCTAACTGCATTTGCTTACTGAATTTCAGAGGAATTGGTCCAACCATGAAATTGAATTCAAGCCTCAAGAACTGCTTGTCGTTTGGACCAAACAATTTCTCTCCGCGCATGCACACGTCAAAGCTGTTAAACTGTCCAGAAGCCAGTTTTCCAAGAATGTTGTTCATCGCCAACATAACCTGTAAGAACAGAGATCAATGGTGACAATCATGGTTTTGTGCCCCAAATCAGCTAAAGAAGAACTTTTGATGGATGACTTTGTGTAAAAATTCCTGGTACTGTGACTATCTGCATAGCCGGACTGGGTATAACCATCCCTTGGTGTAACACATAACACCAGCTTTGCAGGCAAGTGGTGTGGTGGCAGCCGGCTACATTACACCGAACAACTTGTTACACCTAACCTTTGCATTATCTAACTCATTGCTCAAAGCAATCATCATGATGATGGTTTTATGCACTGAACCAGTAGCTAAAGAATAACTAAAGGATACATCAAATTCAATATACAATCAATTTACGTAAAAATCATTAAGTACTAAATGCTTTATCACTATTATTAAGAATTATTATGACTGATCTCTTAGTAGTGACGGTTACTAAAATTTTGACTGTACTGAAACATGTAGTCAGTAGAGTGTCAGTTGAGGTTCGCAGGTCACGTGTGGAGGCTCACAAACAACAGAACAGCTAGAATAGCCATGGACTGATCTCTTAATAGTGACAGTTACTAAAATTTTGACTGTACTGAAACATGCAATTGCTGACATGCTACTGTCAGCAATTGCATGTGTCAGTAGAGTATCAGTTGAGGTTCGCAGGTCACGTGTGCATGGAGGCTCACAAACAACAGAACAGCTAGAATAGCCATGGACTGGAAACCAGGGGGGAAATACCCGAGGGGTAGACCTAGAACTACCCTCCGCAGAACTGTCCAAAACTGGGGTTCGATACACAAGAAGACATGTCTGCTGCGCCCAAAACAGAACCTGGAGAAGTTCTGTCAGAACTACTAGTCAACCAATGCAACAATAGTTTCGGGAGGATCTAAGGTCTAAGGTACTGTCTGCTTCAGAAGACACTGTTCAACTACTGTCAACTACTGACATTGGCATATCAACAAGTAATGAGAATTGCACTCACCAGTTCCAGATACGCTGTGCGGAGATCCGTCATGAGAGCGGCCATGTTAACCCCGTCAACATTCTTTATTTCCACCAGTTCCTTGATTTGTTGAAGCGTCTTTCCTTTTAGGGCAGCCATGTCTAAATGAGAAGGAAAAAAAGTCTGCTTCAGATTGAATAAAACATAATAGAGCCACGTATTCTTCAACTTTGACCATATTTATCCTTTACACTGTACATTTGGTACTCTGTAACTAGCACAATGTACAATTTTAATTCTTGTAATCATTGCATAGCTTTAAAAAAAAAAGTTATGTTGGTTGTAAGGCATAAACATTTTGAACTCTCATACTCCTTGTTCACATACCTTAGACCGTTCATTTCATAATTAGTAACTGTTTTTAAAACCCTTGTCCTGCGGAGCACAATTGTTGTTCTGCACATACAGTTACTGTAATAATAGCACCCTGTATAGGTACGATTTGGGGGTATTTCTCCTGCAACGCATCACACCGCAGCGAAACGCAACGAATGTGGAAGTAACTATGCCACTGCAGGCAAAAAAAGTTGGGGGTCTATGATCTAATTAAGACATGAAATTATTGCAAAACATTGTGCCAGGAATGCCAGCAGGATAAGGGTTTACAACTGTGACTGTTACACTTAATGTACTTATTGAGCTGTACTTGGCAACATGAGTGTTTCACACACTGTATACTAAAGATACCGGTAAGAACTACGTATCAACTAGCTATAGAGCCTTTTGTGTTGGCTATTGCCATTACAGTTGTATTCTACAATGTCGTGTAATTGTCGTGCAATTGTCATGTGCAATGACCATGTGCAATTTTCGTGCAATAAAGTTAAAGTAACTATGTAAAAGGCTTCGTACCTAATGCAGCTCTAGTAGTTGGTGCAGCTGCTTTCGAGCCTGATCTCAGAGATTCGCAAAACTCTGCGCCTTTATTCAGATCAAATGTTAATTGTTTGAAGACTGTTGTCCACTCCTGGCATTTCAGTTTGTTACACACCGACACATCCAGATCAAAAGTAAAAAGATTGTTTCTATAAGTTTTGAGGATGACGTATCGGAAAGAGACTGACACTGGATCCATAACTCCTAGGTTGGATACAAGAGGCCCACCATATTTTTCCGCTGAAGATGAAAAAAAAAATATAAAGAGTTAAGATGAGAATTCCATTATCAGGTAAAGGCATATCATAATGACTCTGACTTCTAAAAATTATTTAAGTCGAACCCTTTTGCCTTACAGAAATATAAAATTCACTTTGAAAACTTATGTTAGACAAATTATGTTAGGCTTTTTTGTCATTTTGGCAAACTTTGTAACCTATACAATGTATGATATTACTTGACTATTACTCACAGCATTGCACTACCATGTATTATATTTAATTTTTTAATTTGTAGTTAGCAAATAAAATACACTGTACATCATAACCTGTACAAATGAAATGAAATACTCACCTACTCTAACTTTTGTCATATTCCAGGTTCTTTCAAATGGTCCAATGTTCAGGGTGAAAAGAGTGGTACAGGGGTCTAGGTGGACTTTTGCTTCGAAAACCCGACGGATAACGACAAAGACGAGCTCAACACAGCACCGTACTTCGTTACAGCCGTGCTTAAACGAACACGCCACCCCTCCAGGCAGACTTTCGTGTAGATGGAAACACGCTGAAAAACACAAACCTAAGTTTTAGTAAAGTGTCCAACAGTTACACTTGACATGGTATGAAATTTGGATGTGAAGCTGAATAAGGATTACTTTGTGAGGGGTATAAAAAACGTTACATCAGGGCCCATCAACCCTCTCTGAACTGTGATGGCAACCTTTCAGCCACTTTTGATTCACCCCGGACGTCACAATTCTGAGTAATGATCTAAAAAAAACCTGGATGCATACATGTGTAGCTTGAAGGTTAATTTCAAAACATCAGAAAGCCACTGCATAATATATATGAATATACATGTATAATGAAAAAAATGGATGAATGAATGAATTGGACATACAACAGAGTTTGTTAGTGTAAACAAAATTACCATCATCGGGAGCCTTGTACTTCGCGATTCGAACCGCACGAGAGCCATTTATTTCTTTTCCTCTCACCGCCAATGCCAGTTTCATTGATTTGTCATCTATTGTTTCTGTTGCGACACATCTGCCTCCACCTAATAGGTCCTATAGAGGAAGATACAGTCATATGGTGAAGGTTAGACATCCACACAATAAGACACACATGTACGCCAAAAGAAAATTACAGTTAAATTGACAAATTTTCTAGAATCATATCCAGTTGCTTAAGTAACTACATGCTTTTTTGGCCTAAGATACAGTCAAAGTCTGGGGCCCGAGAAAAAGTGGCCTTCTGAGACATGGTGACAAGACGTCACGATTTCCACAAAATTTCCACCCATTTCACAATTTATTATAGACTGCCCTTACTTATTGACTTACATGTTAAGTGACCAAGCTGACACCATTTTACAATGCACAAGGACTGTTAAGTTATGCTTTGGAATCAGTGGCCAATTCCATCAATCTCTCCCTATGCAATTAAAAAACGGTTTCTGATACATGCTTGAAAATAACACAGATTAAGGATCAGATAGTGATTTATTACATCTATAATTAGCAATAAGTAGGTTTTGTATTATACATATCATAGAATCTGAATGAATGACATACAAAATATGCTAAATATAGTGTATACATTGTATATATTGTGTCCACTTTAAAATGAAAATTCATCAGTGCTATCAAATTTCACGTTATTTGGCCCAAAAAAGAAGAAATTGAATCCATTTAACGAAATGGCAGGAGAAGAAGGAGAAACATGAGGGAAAACAAATTCAATGCATTTTCCCCATACTATAGTATGGGTGAAATGTAAAAAATTGTATTCAATAAATACATACCTCTAACATGTCCAGAGCACCTTGAAGTGTCTTCTGTAAGTCTGTAAGTCCAACTTTAGCCAGCAGTTTAAGAACATCGCCAGCTTTGACATCCTTGAATCCTTTGAGAGCTGGTCCGATTTCGGTTATTGGCGGCAGTCCCATTTGAACTGCAAAGTCTGAGTAAACAATAACAATGTGGAAGATAAGGCCACACCAATTTAATTTCTTGGTTAACGGATTTTTCTAGAAAAATAATGGAGCGGGCGGGCGGAAAAAAAAATAAATAAAAGCAGGCCTAGGCTTCGTATTATGACCCAAAATGGTACGATAGGAGCCATGAAGTCAACACACCAGGCTGGTTCAAAATTTAAACAATGAATTTTGAACTTTTAATAATACCATTGCATTGAAAGATGGAATAACTGTAACAACTAGGATGAAAAGGTCTGTTTTC